ATGCATCGAACTTAGCTGGTCAAAGGAGTAAAATGAAATGATTGACAAGAGAAATGAACCAGGGACGGTCAATTACTTCATAAACTGGTAAGTAATAATTATATCAATTCATTTTTATGGCGATAAAAAGCGGAATAACAAAATATTGGAATAATAGGTTATACATACACATATAATATATATATTATGAAGTTGATGTATATATAAAAAAAAAGAAAAAAAAGAAAAAAAAGAAAAAAAGAAACCTGAGAAAAAAAGAAAAAAAGAAAAAAGAAAAAAGAAAAACATGTTCTGTGGGATGGTAATTGGATTATATGTGGGATGTGTCACTTGCTTCGTCTGTTTAATAGGCATTCTTCTTCTGTGAGGTTTGGTTTCCTCCGCCTTTTCTTTACCTCTTTTGGCTGCAGCCAGCGCTCTGTACGTAAGAGGTTATGAACAGGTGGAGCTTTCCTTACCTCTTCTTCTCCCCCTTTTTTCTTTTCTCTTCTTTTCTTCTTCTTTTTTTCGCTTCTGCGCTCTGATTCACAGTGTGCAAATATATATGTCGGTTGTCCACGACAATCGACGGATAGAATGGTGGTTGATGCCGATAGAAGGAATTGAATTGATGACTTAATTAATTAATCAAAGAATTCAATTCAATTAATGATATAGTTGCAGATCGATGGTGAACACCCATTCGATAATTAGGTACCATACGTAGAGAATCACTGCCGATCGCGATCTCGCGATGTCGCGATCGGGATACGAATCGATGTGAATCGGGGTCGGAGAGGCTCCTCTGGGTGGAAGGTGGGGAAAGGGGGGCCCAGGGGGAGGGAGAGGTGGGGGGGCGCAATAGATTGAATATAGACGCATGGACAATAGCTGTGCCCTCGATTCCGATATGCCATAGCCATCGTCGAGAGCATAGCCATTGTCCATCCACAGCCATCGTTCTATCTCTATCGTCCATCCACAGCCATCGTTCTACAGCTGTTGTCCATCGACAGCCATCGTTCTCTAGCTATCGTGCAGCCATAGCCATCGTTCTATACCTATCGTTCATCCACAGCCATCGTTCTATAGCTATCGTCCTACTGATTTCATTCCTGTAGACCATACATAGCCATCGTCTTAGAAATGTCCATTCATATCCATGCCAATAGTAGACCAAGGTCGCTGGATACGGATCAACGGCGAACACGGATCCTTTTCGGATTAGGTAGTAGCAGATCAACGGCCGTGCATGACGGAGGTTGTTGTGCTACTGTCGGTAGATAGAAAATCGACTGCGTGCGTCTTGTAGATATAAATAATATAAATAATAAATAATAAAACAAACAATTATAATATAATAATATAAAGAATTATAGGTATATAGTAAAAGAACAAACAAATATAATAATGTAAATAAGGGATAATTTGCAAAATACCCTCATAAGTTGAAAAAAAGGCCAAAATGCCCCTGAAAGATGTGGGTAGAGCGGAATGCCCTTTTGGGCCGAAATCTTTGTGTTGTGCCCCTTGTCAGGCGGGTGTGCAACTTTGCAATCTGGACCTCCTCCCCGTTTGGGCCTTGGCCTTTTGCAATAGCGCCGCCTAGGAGAAGTTGGCAAGTACTGGGGGCATTTTGCAAAGTTGGACGGTACCCGGTAGGGGTATATTTCAAAGATTGGGGTCCAACCGACGCCACGGGTATTTCACGAAAAATATTTCTTGTCAGAGGGGCATTCCGCTCTACCCACATCTTTTAGGGGCATTTTGGCAAATATCTCAACTTATGGGGGTATTTGTAAATTATCCCTATAAATAAATATAGGTAAATTATAAATACGTAAATAAATAAATACATCGCGTGCGGAAATGAGTACATCAATCAATGGTAAAGAGAAGGAACGACGGCGAAAAAAAAAAAAAAAAAAAAAAAGGTACGATGGTGGGAAATGGACTGTTGGGGGCTGGGTGGGTAAATGAGGGTGTAAAATTGTAAATTAAGAATTAAATGGATGTGGTTGCGAATCTGCCACTGTTCATGAATATTCAATCGAGGGGCTCTAAATTAAAATCTTTAAAATCTTCTGAGTATTTAGGCTCCTGGTTCAGTGCCTTGTCGGGACAGGGTCTCGATCCTGTTCCCTGCCAGGTAGCCTCGGTACCGAACTGAATGGGCTGAGAATGGAATCCGGTTTTGCAGATGTTGCACCTGAAACTTCTCTAAATGTATCTGACCGCCATTACGGCTAAGGGCAGACTGACACTAGAGCAAGTGTAAATGTATCCGACTGCGATTACGATCCGACCTGGATGAATTGGACCAATCACGTCCACAGAGATTAGTAGAAAATGTCGGTAGTATGAGTGAGTATATTCTCCCTGAAGCTCTTCCTCTGCGTTCTTAGGACAGGAAAACTTAGTATCGTGCGTCCGTGGGGGCGTGGTACCAAGCCTGTCCCGAACCAGATAGCCCACCCGGGTACCCTGCCGTCTTCCCCCGAACATAACGCTCACCCCTGTAATGAATGATACAAGCTGTATTCCGGTCAGGTAGAGCCAAAATGAGGGGGGTGCGTTGTGTTCGGGGGAAGATGGAAAGCCATAGTTTTGACCAAACATTTATTCAACCGGGTTGGCTGCGCAGCAGTTTTAGGTCCGCAGGCCGGGGGCCAAGTCCCACTTGGTTCTCGAGTTCCTCCTATCCACAGGCCGGGGGCCAAGTCCCACTTGGGCCCCGAGTTCCTCCTATCCACAGGCTGGGGGCCAAGTTAGGTCCGCAGGCCGGGGACCAAGTCCCACTTGGTCCCCGAGTTCCTCCTATCCACATTCCGAGGGCCAAGTCCCACTTAGTCCCCGAATTCCCGTTATCTGACCATAGACAATGAAGATCAACGGCCAGAAATGAGAAGAAGAATCTAGCGGTCTAAGTGGGACCTGGTCCCGGGTGCACTAGTAGTCTAGTGGGCTTTGTGGGCTGGTTCCCTGCTGCACCGGCTATGTACCGAACCTGTACCGAGCCTGTTCCAGGTTTTCAGGGTGTTCCGTTTCGTAACTTGGGGAAGGGCATCCTTTTTCCTTTTTTTTTCCCTTTTTTTAGGCGTTGTATATGCCCCCCACTGCCCCCGCCGCCCGGTTGGCTTAGGGTGTTACGGGATGGCAATAGGCATTTTTCTGCGTTCAGAACCTGGTCAGTTGGTAGGCAGTATCTGGACTCAGAACAGTCTAGATACATACATGTTACACGTGGCTGTTCGCCCATCAACAGTTGCTGTCAGGAACGAGTATACTTTCAGGTATATATATATCGTCACAAACAGAACTGCCCGGTAAACCGTAGGCAGAGAGAGAGAAGAGGACAACAAACGAGGGGCTGTGACAAACTGTTTCGTCGGCTATAGTAACTCCTAACAGTATATATATAGGCACTCCTGAAAGTATAGTCACTCCTGAAAAGTATAGTCATTCCTGACAGTATATAGTCACTCCTGAAAGGATAGTCACTCCTGACAGTATATACTCACTCCTAACAGTATATATATAGTCACTCCTAAGAGTATATAGTCAATCCTAACAGTATATAGTCCCTCCTAACAGTATATATATTGCATTATGGGACGCCAGGCAAAGACCTTAATGCCTGTCCTCATACTTCTGCATGCATTTTGCACAAACCCGGGCACTATATGGCACTCATTCGTGCAGCTGCCCAGTGGGAACTGTGGGATGATGGGATGGTGATTCAGGTTATTGTCAACATAAATGAATTCTTGTGAGGTTTGTCGAATCATACACTGTTCTGGATTGTTGAGCATCTCTCGTGCGACATTTGTCGGGATAGAGACGTGGTGCGTCTTGGTTGTGCAATGCATTATCTGTGTCAGCACCATTATCAATCCATCGCAACTGCCGCCGTATGTGCGGAAGGGTGTCTAACATTTCCTCAATGTGCACATCCTATCATCCAGATGTACGTTGTCCTTTCTGTTCCCAAGGACACTATCAGAACTGCATGATGCCGCACTGTGATGAACGTCCTGCTGTTTTCTTGACATGTGGGCAACATGTCCTCTGTCGGGATTGTTTCGATGGGATGGTTCGTGCTATAGCCGTCCGGCTGAATGCTGTACTAGGGCAACTCTCCTTGGGTATCCCTGTGAACATCCCCGTCATCCTCACCGTAGTTGTCCTATCTGCCGAGGGGGTGACAGATGAAGTGTAGAAGAAACAGATAAAAAAAGAAACCGAGTAAAAAGATAAAAAATAAATAAATAAAAAAAGAAACCAAGGAAAAACACAAAAAAAGAAACCTGAGAAAAAAGAAAAAAGAAGAAAGACAAATATGTTCTGTGGGATGGTAATTGGACTATCTGTGGGATGTGTCACTTGCTTCGTCTGTTTAATAGGCATTCTTCTTCTGTGAGGTTTGGTTTCCTCTGCCTTTTCTTTACCTGTTTGCCTTTTGGTTGCGTGCAAGTGGGTCTTTGTGACACACGGGGATGGGGGCAGCCAGCGCTCAACCTGTCATCCACGTGGCTGGCCTTGTACGTAAGAGGTGACGAACAGGTGGGGCTTTCCTTACTTCTTTTTCTCTTTCTTGTTTTGTCTTTTTCCGCCTTTGCGCTCCGATAATCCTATGTGACAATATATATAGTCATTCCTGACAGTATATAGTCACTCCTGAAAGTACAGTGCATGATCAGGTAAGGTAAGGGCTAAGTTGTGTGGTTCCCAACTGTCACTGTAGATAGTTGAAGAACTGCGGAGGAGAGGGAAGCGTGGTGTATCATCATCATTATCATCATCCTCATCATCATCATTAGCATATCCCCTTGACCGATCAATTGATTTGATTGGATTTGACTTGATTTGATTGATGGATGGATGGATGGATGGATGGATGGATGGATGGATTGGGTGGATTGGATTGATTTGACGTTTGGAATGTACGTGGATATAGATGAGACGGTTCAGTTGAAGTTTCTGTTTCTAAGCAATCAGTGGTAATCGTTTTGGAATTGCAGACTGTGAGGGATGGCAATCCATTGATCTACCGAATGCTTGGCGAGGTTTCTGTGCGATGCACCAACTTTATGAAGGACTGTGACTGGCAAGGGGAGTTGTCGGAGCTGCCGGTGCACATGAACGTCTGCGTGAAAGAAGTGGACGCTTGCAGTGTCTGCAAAAGGTACATGCAGCGAGACCAGTTAGATCAGCACAAGCTGTCGTGTGGCCGACCTTGCGAGGTCAGTCACTCATTTCGCACCAGCCTTACTCACCTCCAAGTGTGCGTCTTGCAGCTGCTGGTGTCACCAACCCCTCTGTGAATGCGCTGGTCTGTTCATGTGATCTTCTGTGCTTGTATTGTGTATGTATGTTTGACTAATTACTACTATTAGATAAATGAAATCTAATTCTAGAGAATATAAATAAGAAATAGAAGAATACAATAATATAATTATTGTATTCTATTATTAATACATATATCTATCATATGAGGGGGTGTGAACCGACAGTCTGTAGAGTTTTCCATCTGGTGTGGGTGAGTGATAGTCTACTT